GAGGTTTTTGGGGGTCCTGAACATTTTTACTTAGAGGACCCGATCCCGTTTACTTAGTACGTTTTTGAGAAACGGGATTATAGGTGTAAAACACCATAGGTGCGTTTTAGTAAAAGTCTAAAAAAATATATGATACAATTTTGTTTGTTAGTTGTGTAGAAAAATGTACCTAAATTAGTACAAATTCATATATAAATTCATATGTGAAATAACCCTTTAAAAATCCGAACTTAATGACCCTAACTATGTTTTGATCAATTAGTTTATTGAACATCCTAATGCAACGATTATGTCATTAAATTTGTTTTGTCGGAGCAAAAATGGTTGGCTGACATGTGCCGCGCAGCGGCACATTTCAGCCAACCGTTTGTTGTGACAGTGTCAGACCCGAATCGGCGAATCTGTCGCTTGATCGAAGTAGGAGTGTATAGCCAAAGATTAGGTTACTCAGGGTCGAAAGAGGCGTGTTAGATTTGGACGAGTGGTTAATAAACGAATGTATGTATATAGTTTATAGACTAAGGTACTTTATTATTAGGTAAATCGGGTGTTGTTCTTCCCATGGGCCAAAAGGGCCTTTATTTATAATTGTGAATTCATCTCGTAGGATCGGTTAGATCCTTACAATCGGTTGTATGGCTAATATTAGTAATATCTATTATATCGTAAGAATGGTTCTGACCTTCAGATCGGGGTTATCGGTGGTATCGAACCGATCGGAAATACCCGGAATCACGAGGGCACGTGCCTATGTCAGGTCACGTTTCCGGTTCCACAACAGAACAAATTTTGATATTTATCATCGCATAATCCAATATCGATGTTATCGTGCAATTATGATCATGATTTACAAGTCATTATTGGCCAACTGAGGCTTAATTCGAGATTGTTGTGCTTATGTAATAATGTACAAAAAAATAACAAGAAAAAATCTATGATCATAAGAGTTTTCACATAATAATATTTACTATATCTTTAGTTTTATTCGAAACTAATTTGGTCAGTGGGTATACAGATTTTTATTTAGCGAATGCGATTCATAAACTTTAATAAGTTTCTTATTAGAGGTTTACTATTTATTACCACTGGTGATAATCACCAATGTTACCTACTAAGTAAACGGGATCGGGTACTCTAAGTAAAATGTTCTAAACAAAAAACCCTTAAAAATGCATCCTAACTTTAAAAATTATACTGATAATGATACCAGTGGTAATATGAAGTAATTTCTTTTTATTATTATTATTTGTTATTAATTAATAAAAGATTACTTCATATTACCATTTGTGATCACCAGTTAGGGTGCGTTTTTAGGTTTTTTTTTTTTTTATTAAGTTTGCTATTTACCACCACTGGTGATCATCACTAAACAAGATTGGGTATTCTAAGTAAAAATGTTCAGGACTCCTGAAAACCCCGCAAAAACTAAAATTGGAACCTTATATCTAATTTTCATTATATTATATAAAAAAATTCTTAAATTTGCACTCTAACCCTAAAGATTCTTAAGAGTGGTGATGATCACCACTGGTGATAAGTAGTAATTTTCTTTTTTGATATATAATATAGATTAGATATAAGGTCCTAATTTTAGTTCTTGTGATGTTTTCAAGGGTTCTGTACATTTATACTTAGAGTATCCGATCCCGTTTACTTACCGTATTTTTCGCGAAATAACATAGATGTTATTTAGAAAATCATGTCTCCTAAAAATAGAATGCATGGTTTCAAAATAACGTTCCGAAATGATTTAATATAACAGACTTGTCTCAAAGGAACGCCCATGCGCGTACTCTAAATAACGCGCATATACTCAAAATATCGCACAGGGTGGGCGTTATTCGGTACGTAGTAGGTTTTTGGGATACCTGATATAGCAACACTGATGATGATCACCAGTGATAATAATAGTAAACCTCTAAATTTTTTGACTATATAAAAAAAAGCTGTGCGGCTGTGTCACTGATCACCGTATCATGTGAAAACCAAATATATACGTACGTACGTACGTACGTATAGAAATTTGTAAATTACATCCAATCAGGGATATATAATGTATATTACGATTCATTATTTAAAAATAGTAAAAAATAATAAGTATTTCTAAACAACAGAATCAAAGTTAAATCATTTAAATAATGCTTCAAGTAACAAACACTGTTGCAAAAAGAAAACTATTATAAGTACTTATTAGTCAATATTAAATTTTATGAAAACTAAACATATTTTGAATCAGTGCATTTAAGGAGGTACTGCATTTAGAAATTGCGAATTACGGTGACTGCGTGATGGTGAAAATATGAGTATGAACCAGTACAACAAAGAGAAATAAGCATCTTTTATGGATAAAAAAGAGCTATATGAATTATGAATTAACCTTCAAAGATACCAACTAGAGTCAATTTTGCAAAATTCTCTAACCCAGTGATCGTTCAATTGATGATCAATCGATTGTGGTTATGGCGTAAGCAAATGCTTCTATTATGCCACTGAATTGAGTTCTGATCGATCATTTTAGGGATTAATCAGGTAATGATGATACCTCTGCTTCTAAAAGACCCTCTGCTTGCATGAGAAGGTTAATCCTAATGATGTTTGAAATTCTTACACAGCTTATCTGCATGGATGGAACAGGTTTAGTCGACTAAACGTAGTAGTTAATTGAATTAATTTTTTAGTCGACTCAACTGATTCTGCAAACCACGATAATAATACCGTGCAAAAATCAAAACAAAGAATAAGAAAACATAGAAAACATTAAGAGAAAACTATTGAATATATTTGTCCAACAAATCTTTAAACAAAAAAAAGATCAAAGTATATAGGATATTAAAAGGATATTAAAAGAATAACACTCATTAAACAACTATACTATATATCATGAAATATATTAAAAAAAAATATTGCTGCATCAAACGTACACAAAGAAAGGGTCGGGTAATCAAGTCCGATTTAGATGCATTAAAATGTGCACAAATAATCATCAAAACATAAACAATAAAGCAATAAGTAATCCTACGTATCAAACCTTATTCGCACATTATCAAATAAACCAAATAGATTAGTATTATAAAACTTTGGTTAATATTCAAAAATAATAATCATCAATATCGTTTCACTACATTCTTTACGTCATCTTAATAAGTTATAATAACCGAATGCACGAATGGTTTAGAAGAACCTAGCCTTCTTGTTCTTTTTTAATCATTATTTTTATAGTTGTTTGTATTACGAATCAGAATGATCGTTATTATTAAATAAATATATGAGGTGTTTACCGAAAAAATTTCAACATTATATAGATATTATTACAATTTTAGTAACTGATTCACTGCAACCAAGATTTAACTATTAATAGGGATAATGTAACGCTAGTTAACATAAACTCACCTAAAGGTAAATAATAGTATTAATTCGAAGTACCGCATGATGTTAACATAATAAATTCGTGTAATTAATTAAGTGCAATCTCAATTTCGATTATGCTGTGAATAGTTCCAAAAAGCTGGTTAATAAAATTGACGCATATTGATAAAAAAAAAAACATACATACGTACATACAGTACGCAATTTATAAATTCATCACTAACATTTTTTTGTAAATTACATCCTTTCGTGGTTAAAATTTTTTGAGACTATATCTTTTTGAGATTAAGCCTTTTTTTGAGACTACATCTTTTTTTAAAAAAAAATTAACGCTTTTTGAAATGATGGAGAACTTAACATATATTTTATTGCTCATATTGCAAATATTTACAGTATTCGCACATTCATATTCACCAATTCCACGATCTGGCCACTTATCAGCATTTATTAACAATAAATTATATTTTATTAGTGGCTCAACTACACTGGATAGAACTATTATTTCAAATGATTTCTTTTATATTGATTGTACTATGAGCTTTAATAGTTCAAATGATAGTATACCTTATACAAATCTTTCAGATTTGGCTGGAATTCCAAAAATTGATGTAGCTGGTTCTTCCGTCGTTGGTCGTTATAATGATATAATATTAACTTTTGGTGGTATAGGATTAAATAATAGTTATGGTTATCAGTTAATATACACTTTTGACACAAAAAATTCAACTTGGAATTCTTTAACAACAAATGGAATTCAACCACCGATAAGGAAAGGTGTTCGACCTGTATTTACTTATGGAAGATTATATGCTTTCGGAGGATTTGATAATACTGCTGGAAAATATTATAATTCTCTAGATATGTTAGATAGTATTGGATTTGTTTGGTCAAATATTACTTTATTAGATGGTCCTTCTGGAAGGGATGGCTACGTATCTGCTTTATTGTCGGATGGTAATATCTTATATTTAGGTGGATATGCAGGTCCAACTACTGCCTTAGACACTGTAAGTCTTTTTTTTATTTTATTTTATTTTATTAGTTTACAAATCTAAATTATATTTATTATCTTAATTTAAACTTGTTCCATTCTTTAGGTTTATTTATATAATACGAATAATAATTCATGGCAAAATGTGGTATGTATAAATTTTTCGACATTCTCTTAATTTTTTTTTAAAATTAATTATATATATAATAAAAGTTATTTAATATTTTATAATATACTAAAGTCTACAGTTGGTACAGTTCCTGAAGGCCGTGGATATTTTACTTCTGTATTAAGTAATTGCAATTTTTGATAATATTCAATTGAACTAGTCTTGTCAGAAAAATCGCGGTCCCGTTACATTGGTGCTCCAATACTTATAATACCGTAATATATATATAGTTATCGAATGCGAAGCTAGCAAGAATTGGTTACAAATAATTCTCATTGACACATCGCATTTAATAATTATACATTATATCAATAGTTTATTTTGAAGCTTAAGGTTAGCCAATAATACTCATATGATATACACAATTGTCGAAATAGCTAGAAATCACGGGACCACCGATTTTCCTGATATGACTTCTTTTATAAATTATACTAAAATTTTGTCAAATAAATTTAAGATTTAAATAAAAATCGATTGATTATATACGGAGGTGAAAACAACCAAGGTTATAGCCATTTTGCAACACCAACTTTGGTTGTATTAGATTTAAGCTCGTTTACATGGATCTCGCAAATAGTAACTGGTGATTCTACACCACCTCCTTTACTTCTTCATACTGCAAATGTTGTTAATAACTATATGATACTAGCATATGGTATGTATTAATTGTAATGTAAAGTAGTGTTTCGGTCCAGAATTCTTTTCAAAGTCTAAAATATTTCACCAATAAGAAATAATTTCGCCGTAACGAAATAATTCGGTTCAATCCACAAAAAATATATAACAATTTTGATATTTTTTAAAGTCAAAGAAAATTTCGTCAGTAAGAAATAATTTCGTCCGGCGAGATTCGTCCGAAACACTAATTTAAACTATTCTATCAAATAATATAATTAACATATTTAATTTTAAATTATTCAATAGGTGTTAATTATCAAACCAATTTATTAAGTAATAACATCTATCTTCTTGATATAAGCAATGATTCTGAATATAAATGGGTGAATGAATTTAAATTAAATCAAAATCAGGACCAAAGTCAAAGTCCAAGTCCAAATCAAACTTCATCATTGACTAACCCGTCAAGTTATAAAAGTACAAATGTAAATTCAAATCAAGGTGTAAGTTTAGGAGTATTTATTGGTTCGATTATAGCTGCTGTTGTTAGCACTGCATTGTTAATTTATGGCTTAACTGCTTGTTATAATATGCTTAAAGTTAAGGGTTACTTTAGTAATTTTATTGCAACTCCAGGAACTAAATAAAATACCATATATTTTAATGGTTATAAAATTATATCTGGAATTTGTTATTTTGACTTAATTCCTAACTTTATCGAGTTGTTCTGAGGTGTAGGTGTACGAAAAATTCGTGTTTAAATTTTCTTTGTTATGTTTTCTATATTATATTTGTTATGTAACGGTTTGAAACCACAGATCTCCAAGATCTCCACGGATATTGGTTCGAGCCACAGATCATGGTTCCCGACCATGGCTATATCGCAATGTATAAATATGACAGCTAAACTGATAAAGAGAAATAATAATTTCGAGAGAATTTCGGCATGAGTCATAAATAAAGTACTTTATGAATCGTATACCAACTAAATACATTCTTTAATAACCATTATCATTAAGGCCGTTCAAAGTTGATTCTTCGGTTAACATCATCTCCCCACTGAAGTCTCCCCCGATAAACGAACAACCAATCAAAACGTTGGATAACTCTCGCCAATTGTTTGATTTATGTCGACCAATGAAATTGGCCCATTTTTATATGTTCATTTCATTTTACCCCCTCCCCTTCTCCCAAGAGTTCTAAAGGGTATGTTAACCAAAGAATTAACTTCAAACGGCCTAAATCCGAATCCTTTATATACATTCATATCGCATAACCTATGCTTATATCCCTGAGCTAATTCGACCTCACGTTAGCTAAGTCTCTCCCACGGTTACAACAGAAGGCACTGTTTTACCGATTAACACTATTACGTGAATTCTGTCTGTTCACTTCTGTGATATTGATTGATTGATTACATAATCAGTCACTAACTAAAACTCCGGCCACTTAATAAATACTATTTGACACTATTTAATGCTATAATAGCTAGGGTTATACTTTTTAAAATTAAAATTAGCATCAATTTTAACGAAAAAGAATCCATAAAAGGTGAAAATAGCTTTTATGCTTTTATTTTGACACGTGCTATGTGCATTACATGTGCACTTTTTCCTTGACTACCGTTCTATTGCATTTGCTGCGAAGTAGCATATAGAAGTTCTTTGTCGCGTTAGTGTTAAAGCAAAGATGTGCCAATGTCTGTATCAGTGTTGTCACCTGGGTGCTGCGCCACTGGACTGCTGGACATAGCAATTTGATACGTTCCAGCCTAGTAACTTCTAGCCACTGGACGTAGTAAATTGAAGACACTGGTATGTATGCTGCTTTATATAAAAATTTACCAATATATTCTTTAGTTAATATATTTGTAAGCTGTGAAGACCTTTCTTTTGATCCGGGCTTATCTAGTGACTTTTGCTAGACATAGGATTGTAAATACACTATATAGTAATATTTTTATGTATATGTAATTAAATCTAAACCTTTAGCAGATTCATAAAAAAAAAAAGGTCACTATTAGTATCTTGGTTTATGCATTTTGAAGTTAATGAGTCCTTTTTTGTTACATTTACTTAAGTTTAAAAAAAAAAAGAAAATCTTAACAAACTACACAGTATATTTTAAACTACGTAATTATCGTAATTTTTTTTTTTTTTAAGTTAAGATATCATATACGTAAGTACGTGCGCACGCACAAACGTACAGTACATATCTACGTATATAGATTATAGTAAAGTAGTACAGATGAAAACGATGGAAATCATGATATTATGTATGCTTTATAAGTGAAAAAATTCTAAAACCAAACCAACCCATTCTATAATTTGTCCTTACCCTAACCATAATCATTAAAAAGGATACTATTAAAAATTTAATACAATTTTTCGTACGTCCGAATCTATACTATCATATTGTGTAACGATGAAAAATTATGAGTATACATGCAAATAATAATAATAGTGTTTTATTTAGACTGACTGTAAAAATTGCCAAGATCAAATAATTTATTCGTATTAGAGCTGCATTTTACATAATTCATCTTCACTACTGCTAATGTCGTATCACTATATAAAATTCCATGCAACATTAAATCATTTGACATGTATCCTAGCCAATCAAAAGAACTTGTCCTCTGCGGAATGCGATTGTTTTTTGAAAATTTTTTTCATACAATGTTACACAACATGTGTTTACGATCTTTTTATTAAATTTAATTTTTTTACTTTTTTTTGTTACACATCAAAATTAATTTTTCCGACATTTGCAGTATGTTTCGGTTACGGGTAAACTTTCAGAAATCCAATTGAAATATCGTTTTACCGAAGCATAATATTGACAATCCCTATTACCGACAAGACATAAGTTTGATATCTCATTTTCTCGATGTATCATTTAATTGGTAGCAAATTTCCCGACAAGTCTGCCACTACCATTCTCCGAATATTATATACAGTAATAGCCTATTTATACCGACGTATCATTTTCATTTGATACTTTTTCCGACATTCCATCTCTTCGGAACTATATCGCTGAAAGCTCTTTTGCTGACGGATATTTTACCGGTTTTAAATACAACAAAATAGGCTTCATCTCGGCGACTTTTTGGAATTGGGCCCAAATTAAAAACCCCGAGCTATTTAATTATCGTAATTTTACGTATCAATCACATGACACATCTAGTAAAATGATCCCTAAATCTGATAAAATTTTTGTACAAATATATTTCTTAATGCAGTAATATTAATATATGCGACAGATTATTTTCAAAGAAAAGGCTGTCAGAAATAGTTCTTAACGGAGAAATAAAAATTTTGGGAAAAAGAGTTTGTCAGAAAAAAGAGCTATCATTAAAATTCGTGTCGAGAAATCAGGTTATCAGGAAATTAGTTTGATCGAGAAAAAAGCATTCAGTAAAATGAATCATCAGGAAAATTTTTTTAGTGCAGTTCTTTCTGTGCAGATTTACAAAAAATTAAATAATAAATGAAAATCTCTGCAAAACTTCAGACTCAGCAGCTATAGCCACAGAAATTAAATACAATTCTGTGCAAAATTTCAAATTAGGAAAGATTTTGCAATTTTTTGCAAAAAATTCCGCAAAAATCTGCATTATTGAAGAGTTTGCAGATTTACACTTAATAGGGTCGTCAGTGTTATGGACTCAAGAAATCGATACTTCGATTAAGTGGATTTGGAAAGTTGAGCACAGTATTTTTCGACATTCATAATATTTAAATTGCGCAATAAATGAGTGAAAAATAGTGCTTCGATCCGCAACCCGACTAATTCGGATTGATCCGATAATTCGGATTAAATGCGGATATCCTTATCCGTCAACTTTAAACGTAATATATTTCGGATCGAAGATGAGGATTATTCGGATCTAGATTAACATGTAGAGACTGGACTCGAATCAACTCGTAGCTTAAAAAAACATAGTCTTAACTCGAATTAACTCGAGTCAAGACTATGTTTTTTAAGCTACGAGTTGACTCGAGTCCGAAACACTATAACCATCCCTCCATATTAGTCGGATTTTTACCGAGTAAATTTATACTAATGGTGTAGAGATATACTGATCGGAGGATTCTCGAATATTTTAAGGAAGTGGTTTTTTCATATTGTAGTTCTCTTATACTCGGAATCTTTTTGTATGACAATAAAATCAATAAGAAATAAGGAAAGTACAATGAAATATTACAGTATATTAAAATAATACATTCATATTACATACTGTTCGTATTCAACATTCTATATCCCATCTAACTGTAAGCATTCTTCCTTCTTTTGTTTTCATTACCTTCAACGTAGTGTTTATAAATAAAAGTTAAGAATTCTGGTTCCTATCCGTATCATAGTCTTTAACCTATTTAACCAAGGAGATATTGGACACAATTAATAAAAATTTACATTAAAAAAATACCCAATTCCTTTTTGCAATCATTTACTGGATTACAGTGCTTTTCAAATTACTGTGATTAGCCGTCGATCATCCATCACACGGAAATCTGTAAAATTCCCTTAAATTCTTTGTTTTTTAAAAAATTCCCACTTAAAAAATCACAATTCCAAAGATTCCTTGTCAATTCCCGATTCTA